TGGCGGCCACCGCTGGCGGCGTAGCCATTGGATCAGCTGTTGGCCACACCATCGGACACGCGATGACCGGTGCGTTCAGCGGCGGCTCTGACAATGAGGCCCAACAGCAACAACAGGCGCCTCCACCGCAAGCGTACGGCCAACAGGGCTACGAGTCTCAGCCGATGGGCCAGCAGTCGGGTCCCAACGCCTGTCAGTTTGAGATGAAGCAGTTCCTCGACTGCACCCAAGCCTACGATCTGTCCCTTTGCGAGGGTTTCAACGAAGCGCTCAAACAGTGCCGACAAACCAATCCCGGGGCCCGTCTCTGAAAGGGCCGGTAGTCGCGATGGGATGGCTGTCGTCGTTACGATTATTATATAAATTTATTTTTGCCATTTATTTAGTCAACGATTGTATGGTTTGGCGTTTAGTTTGACGACTGATTTATAATAATAATTAGTTTTTCCGTTTTGTGTTTTAGACATATTTGCAATTTATTATTACTGAATGGTTAGTGAATTAAATGTAATTTATATTCAATCGTATTAATGATTTTTTCAATCAATAATTAGACAAAAAAATATGTAATAAATTGTTGTTTCGGTTTAATTGAGTCCTAATTTTTTCTCAATCATTATTATCTTAGCGTTGATTCAATAGTGAACTCAATATTTTGCCCAAAAAATATCTATTGATTTGAACTCAATATATTTTGATCTTGCAAATTTTGTTTTCGGGATATATTTGATTGCAAATTATGATTAGTTTTATTAGAAAATTATTAGTTTTATGTAATGGACTCGCAATTAAATCCATTGTTTGCGTTATCGACTCAATCATTACATAATTAGATTTCTCTGCGATCTGTGGCTCCCATTGATTGATGTCTTCTAATTGATTCGCATATTAATCGATCAAAAGGTTTTTCCCCAACAAAAGGAGTTTGTGTTTGTTGGGCTACCAGTTCCCTTCTGGTTAGGCTACCAGTGCCCCCGCCATTACTACGTTTAGTCCGTACGATTAGCATCAGATTTAGATTACCTATAGATTGGACGCAAGAATTTAATTGATTTCTCACAATACAAGTCGTGATCTTTGCTTTTCAGGAGAGAAATGTAATCAAAATAATTATTGTATAAAAATTTAATCAAATAATTATTTTTCTTATATTTTTGTTGCTTGAATCTAATAGCGAAGGAATGCTTTGGTTTTTAATTTGAATTTAAGATTTACTTTTTTGTTGTTTCGTTTTGTGAATAGCAAATGTAGTTATAATATAATAAGAGTTTATTTTAGTTTTTACTGTCGATTGGATTCAACTTTCAATTGAAATCTAAATTTAGTTTCATTTCATTCGTTCACTTCCCTGTAGATTGAATACAATTTTTATGCCGTGTTTTTTGATTTGATTTTATGATTAATTAAATCGTTTTTTGAAGTTTTGTTTATTTTGCGAAATATACGATACACACTATATTTGTAATTTAGTTCAAAAATGCAATCCATAACTCATTTTAATTATAATAAACTAATAATTAGTGATTTTTATTCAATTTTAATGATCTAATAAATTAATTATCGATTCGATGCCCAAAACCCACAAAAATACAGCAAAAATACTTCAATTTAATAATCATTAAAGAAATTTAGTTAATTTTCGGTCTTATCTAATCAGACATTCAATGCGTTTAAGTCATCCATTAATTGTTAACTAATACTAATCTTTTTTATTACTTGTCTTCAAGTTTTTTACAGAAGTTTTCAAAATAATTTTGTTATAGATATTCACAAAAATACATTTATAACTGAAGTCATCGCTTGTTTTGGCTATAAATTGATTTTTATTTACTTTTTTTCGTTACCACTCTTTTCTACTCTTATTTTTTGTGCATAAATTTAAAACATTTATTTCGATTACGGAGAGAGAGAGAGATAAGAGAGAGAGAGAGAGAGAGAGAGAGAGATAAAGGTGTTCAATAATTTTCAGGAAATTAATTAATGAATAAGTCGTTTAAATGACGAGTAAAACGAAAATAATTATATTTTTTGCGCGCAAAATGTATACAAAAAATCGTAAACTAATATCTGAGGTATAACTCGAGGTAATGATGAGGTTTATAATTAACCCATTTTTGATCACTCGATATTCAGTAAATAATATTTTTGCTTTTTATCTGTTACACACTCCCTATATTACCAATCGGTTTGATTTGTCCGAAAAAAACTCGTTTATTATGAATACATGTTATGTTTTGAAATACATCTCCAATTGATTGTCACACAAATCCGTTCGCATCAATCGCTCACACATTTTGTGATGTTTTTATTTATGGCATATATTTGTGGAAAATTTATGTTTCCTATTCATATCAATCGGTTTAATTCATTGAAACATTTAGAAACTCATAGTTTTCATAACAAATCACTTAATTTCTACACATCTGTAGATTTTTTACCTTAACTTTCATTACGAAAAAAAAGTTTCCGACAAATGAAATTAATTATCGGTTTTAAATTCTACTTGATTACTATATTACCAAGTTTTGTTCAATAATTTATTTAAATTCATGTCTTTTTTATTTTTGTTTGGCAGAAATATTTAAATTACACTTGCTTGAGCATATTAATTAAGAATTTTGCAGTAAAAAATGAAATAATAATTTATTTATCTTTATTTATTATAAATTTGAAATTCTATCGAAAAGTATTAATTACTGTGAATTAATTTGGTATTAAAATAATTGCGATACTTATTATGGTTTGGCAGTATATTTGGACTATAATTCACTATTAGTTTTTAATGTATACTTCGCGTTATAATTAGTTTTTGAATTAACTTTTTATGTGCTGTCGTATGACTTAAGGAAAGAAACACAACAAAAATGTTTTTCCAAAATATAAATCAAATGATGAATAAATCAATATATCGTTCAGTAAAAAACTCTTTAGAAAATGTGTTGAATATTGTATTAAGAAATAAAATACTTAATAAAGAGGTCAAGTTTTCTCATTGCAAATCATATATCGACGTCCTGTCCCCTCAATATCGTTAACATACAGTTCCCCGACTTTATTGCTCTAATTTTTATATCACATAAAATTATTGGTAAATAAATTAGCAAATATTTTCAATAAACATCAGAAATGGATTTTTTCGACCGATTGAACCGATAGTTTGTTTTATAGATTTATTTCGTCGATAAAAATCTCAACATTTCTTTTATAAGTATTTTTATTCTCTCTCTTCAGATAATTTTGGTTTTCGTTTTTCACTCAACCCTTTGATTATTAATCACCGTTTCGTATGAATGCTATAAATTTAACGCAAAATATAATTATATATTTTTGAGCGAAAAATATTGTTTTTGATTATTATTATGCGAACCGAAAATAAATATGTTTTATGGGAGGGTTTGCACTGACTTTTTTCGTAATTAATAATTAATAAGTTTATAAATATAGCTAATAATTCACATAAATTTTAAATCAAACATTGAAATACTTTTAAAGTTTTATGTAAAGTGGGAAAAATGTATTGAATTCATAAACTATATTAACAGCGCGTGGGATGCAATACCTGTCCACTTGCCATATATTTTGTTGATTAGATCATTCAATACTTCATGAAACTAAGCTATTTTGGCAATAATTAAATGGTTTTAATCTTTTTTATCTATAACTCGATAAAAGTTTTACCGAATATTTAATTAAGTTTGTTATACAGAGAGGAACGACATCTTTGACAGGTTTATATGAACTTCATAAAAGTTTAACCAAGTAAAACACGGTGTTTTAAACAACCCTGATGGTACTGGTAGTTCAACACTTATCATATTATGTTTATACAATTAATAAGTTTTAAATTATAGCATAAATTATATCGGATTTGTTAGTAATATTAAAGCGTTTATTAAAAAATAAATTATTTCCGTTTTTTAGCTCAGAAAATATGATTTTGTTGAGAATTTCTTTATGAAATGTACCGCATATGAGATCTTAAACTGACTACTCTTAAACTGTCGCCAATTAATACCTGTCCACTCATATTACCATTCAAACCGTATATCACTGGTAGGAAACTACCATTTAATGCATTCCACGGTTTGTGTCATTGGGTGAGAGGAAAGGCGTCTGAAAAGTAAAAGAAAACAAAATTAATTGACAAACAAAAGCATACAATGAGTTGAGAGTTGGGTTGAGAACCAGTGGTCCGACAGTACTGTCAGCGCTGACCACCAAATCAAATAATATGCCACTAATGACACGAATACAGCCAAATATCAAATGCAAGTATTATGGCGTGAATGCAGTCAATGATAATTAAGTGAACATTCATTCAAACATTACATCAAATAATTCACACAAATTCTGTTCAATTCAATGCATTTTTGTGATAAACTTTTGGACAAAAATTTCAATTAATATGAAAAGTGTTTTAAATGACAAATAAAATGATTTCATAAATATGAATACCATGATAATACCCTGGTATACTTACATTATCGGTTGCAAAAAAGTTTTTGATTGTAAACTGAGATAACAGATGGCAATACACTCATCACACAAATGCATTCAATTGAAGTACACTTTATGGCACATTGTTGTGGAACTTATAGCTTATATTGAATGCTTGTATTGAACACTAAAATCACATCCTATGCCGACATTCATGCGGTAATCCATTATAAGCAGACATTTTGATCACACCATTGGATCAGCTTTTAAGACAACACCTGATCCACTGACAACTCAACAACACTATCACCGCCACAATCAATACCACCACAACCGCTATCACCTCAACCTTCATCCAAACGTATTGATTGAGTGGTGCGTCGATTGGATCAGTTGGCGGTGATGTCTGTGTTATCACAAGAAGCGCATCTGAAGTCCTACCAGAAGCGTCTGAAGGATGACATCAACTCGATTGTGGAGAACTTCACGCGAATCCTATCGATGGTGCGGTGCGAAGGCGACCACCAGTTGAGCGGATCTGATGTGCAGACCATGTCTTACGAGATGTGCTGTCGAGCGGCCAATATATGCAGAGCCAGTGAATCCCTACTGAAACTCATTTGGGATATCAAGCAGTTCCTGATCATCAATGACTTCCCGCTCATCAACGAGTCCATCAGCAAGAGAGTGGACACGAACCTCATTAACGTCACTGAGATTGACCACAAACTCCTGACTCTGAGGGACGAGATCGCCAACGAGTTGTACGAACTCGAGGACGAGTACTACAACTCACTCATCAAGTGATCCATCGCTTCCAGACGTGTGGTGTGGACGCCATATTGCGATCACGTCTTTGTATATAGTTTTTTATCCATCAATTCATCGATTGATTTGTAATTTATTTGTTCAATAAATTGTTTGACAAAACACTGGAGTTTTTGTTATAAAGTTTTTATTCATTAAATTAATTGCTTTCTAATTATAGCTAAAATATTTGCTAATTGTTTCCCGACTCTCTCTCTCTCGCTCTCTCTCTCGCTCTCTCTCTCTCTCTCGCTCTCTCTCTCTCTCTCTCTCTCTCTCTAAATATAATGAAAGAGCATATAATTAGAAATCGATTAACGAATGTCTGAAATAAATCAACTAAAAGCCAATAATAATTAGGAAATGAGATATTTTTATATAAAAACTGTTTTTATTATAATATTTACATTTGATATAATATTTATTAAAATGAATTTACATTTTCTTAATAATTATGTTTAATAATAATAATTATAATTATAATAATCTGATACTTATTATGAAAAATTACATCATTTTTACTGAATAGATATGCAATTGAGTTAACATTTGATTGATTTTACACAACAGTTGTATAAAAGGCTGACACAGTGTTTGACAATTAGGGCGAAAGTAATATAAAATTGTTTTTTAATGTTATAATCGATAAATAGAAAACTTTTTTGGCATCTCTTTTATACATTTAAATAGCGATTCCTTAGTCTCTCTATTATATTATAAATTAAATATAATTCCCTTCCTTTTACTGATGTGTTATTCACATCACAAAAGCGGTCGTCAATTGTCTCGTTATCTTGCATTTGAATGAATTGTATGAATGTGTGGCACAAGTGTTATGAGAATTATTCTGGAGACCAATTCTTGAGGATTATTAAGAGGTTTTTTATACAATTGAAATGAGGAATACAATCAAATGCATTGAAATGTATTGAATAAATTATATATTTTTTGTTTCCGTTAAACACAATGCGATAATCAAATGAGAATATTAGTACAGAAATCGATACGAAAAACATTTTGTTTCTTTAAAATCACGCATAAGTTTGACTTAAAAACAATATATTCTTTTGCAATAAATTATATATGAAATAAAAATTTAAAACTAAATTATATATAAAAATTGTAATTATATTAAAAGTCGTTAAACTTTTTTGTGTCAATCAGACAGAGGTCTCCGAATTGAGTCGAAACACAAATTTGTTAGACTTGGGATCAATCACTTCCTCGACGACATTGAAATGAGGCAATTGATGGACAGACACCAGTAGTGATACGTCTGACTGTCTCAACAGGAATACAGTTCCCTCTTCTATGGAACGGGACAGCAGTATATCACAGACGAGACTCCATGTCTGCAATGGTTTGCGTTCGTTATCGGATTGTAGGACAGGGCTGGCGACCAGATATTTCTCGAGAAACGCTTTGGGACTCATGTCAAAGCTGAGACACAGTGCCAAGTGATCTAATATTGATTGCATTGAGTGTCGCGGCTGTTGGCGGGTTATCCTCAGGTACTTCTGTAGTGAACGGGCCAGGGATGGGAAGATAGCCTGCGCTGCCTCTTTCGGATCCATAGGAATAGCTGGACCTGAATGTCAAACAAATAGTGATTCGTTAATTGGGAAACAAATCTGTGAACACAAACTTATAGCAAATCTGCACTTTATGTGTGTATAGTTTGTTTTGTGGACCAAAAAAATCAATACTTCTTTTGTTGAACCTTTTGTGGTCTATTATCTAATAGGAATGGTATAAGAGGGTCGGGATATGGGATTCATATAATGAGTTTCGTGGCAATCAATTGTCACTAATAGCGAGCTGTGACTCAGATTTCTCTAATTTTAAGGTCGATTCGCACCACAAGAGTGAGAGAATTGAAGTGATTATGGAATTGCTGTCAATACAAGTGAGACAAGAGATCACAAAATATAGCTTTTCTTGAGACCAGATTTACTCATCGATAGATTTAGTGAACAAAAAGTGTCTAAAAGTGTAACTCATATAATAAATGTCTTTAACATAAACTCGAGCATAAGAATTGACAGTTTTTTATACACACATTATATCATTGAAACGAATAAATGATAGTTTGCTTTGATATCTATATATCAACTCATGGTATGTGTCTATTCTCGAGCAAAAAATATCTTAAAGAGAACTAAACTAACGGTTATGTGAGCCGGACATGCATTTTGCACACATATGTTGACACAATCATTTGCTCATCGCCTACCAGTGCCATAATAAGAGGCCAAAGACTAGGATACAACTAAACTGAGTAAGCATTTCGTAAGTTAAGACAAATTTGTGTTCATTGGATTGTGAACGACTCACATCTCCACTACTCTTTGTCTTTTGCTTTTGTTTTATTGTCGAAAATATATTAATATAAATACTTCTGTGTTTTGCCTCACTTTGTCTGTCTTTCCAAACAAATGCACTGCTCTTACGGATAAAGGTTTTAGTCATGAGATAAATATATAATAAGAAATAATGGAAACCCTTTTTCTTATCGCAAACAACTAACTTATACTAGTAATATGAGACAATTTCTTATGCTTTTAATATAATATTCCGCAAATATTTAGTAATCTTTAGAAATACAGAATTGCATAAAAGTTTATTTCATAACCGGTTGGCAATGAATGAAAGAATTTGCTTCTTTTACCAAAGACTTTGAGATATTGAGCATTGGATTGAAAGGGTGTGGAAATGACTAAAGTATCAAATATTTGGTCACAAAATAAACTGAATAACATATGAAGTGAGCTATGGGTGCACTGAATGCATACCTCTCTCGTCTTGCATTCTCCTGATATGAGTGAACGCATCTTCGGTGGCAGTGATGAGTCGGGCCCTCCTTTTCCTGACTCTCCTGTCGTACTCGTGCTCCTCATAGAAGCGCTCGTTGTGGTGATGATGGCTGTGATGATGACTAGAAGTGTCTCCTCTATCCCTACTCTCCCTCCTATTCCTGAGGTCACCGCTTGTGCTGCCATTCATATTCATGCCATTAAGGAAGGATCGGTTCCCGTTTCCCATATTAATGCCCATCGATGTGGAGCCGATGACATTGGTATGATTGGCGGCGCTGGTTATGCCTTCGATGTCGTAGTACTTAATGGCAGCAGACGTCGAGTTTAAGTGATTAGCAGTGATACCAGACTTCCGGCCCTTTTTGGTGGGCAATGACTCTAAGTACGGGTTGTATATATCAAAGTCCCGGTAGTACTTCTCGAGTACCCAAACGGCCGCCCTTTGGATACTGAGTTGTCCGATGTTATAGTTGCGACTCTTGCCGTCCGGAGATCGGACCACTTTTATGTAATACTGGGGCTGAATGTGTCGGATCTCTATCAACACAACGGCTAAGTAGTGGATGAATAGTAAGGCGTCGACGAGGGAGACGGCGAACAACACAATGCTGTGATAACTGACCAAATCGTAGTCATTGAACCGCTTTTCGGCGATCCTCACCAAATAGAAGAGCCAATACGACACCATAAACACAAATATGAGCGCCAGTACTATAGACCGGTAGATGAATATGCGGGGCATCGTGGCCCGGGGCCGGCGCACAAATATAGCCCAACTGCCCACTAATAGGATCAACAGTTTAAATGCAAAGCTGATGATCAGTCCATCGCATTCTGGCCCGCATTCAGCGGTTTTCCACTCGAGGGCGTCGATCTTAGGCAACACCACCATCAGCACCGGTGATATAAAGGCACACAACGATAAAAACGCCGACACAACAGATCCCGACCACATCTGACACCTGAACGACAAACTCTGTTCTCTCCACAAGTCTTTGCCGATCTTATTGATGTCGTCGATGGAGACCGAGTGGTCGCTGGTGTTGCCGGTGATGGCGGTCGTGTTGTCGCCCCAATTGTCATCCTGAGGTAGTATCTGGACTTCGATCACTTCCTGACCGCCGCCGCCTTCGTGGCGCTCGTCCGGTGACTCCAATTTGCTGACAAACGCCCGTTCGCTGCGAGTCGACCGGTGCGAGTGCCTACTGGCCGACCGGTGGTTGTGACCAGAAGTGTGGTTATGGTTGCGGTGATTGCCGTACGGGTGATGATTGGTATTCACGTGATTGACATGATTCCCTAAATGGTTCACATGATTGCCCATATGGTTGACATTCATATGATTGCCGGCCAACACGTTATTACTGTTACTGTGGGACACACTATGGGATGCGTGACCTCTGCTACGTTTGGATCGGTCACTATAGCCCGACCTCACGGACTCCGTGTCCATATTCACCTTAAATGTGGGCAATTGTATTGAGTTACTGAGTGGCGAGTGAATGGCGTGGATGTCATTTGCGGTCCACATCGGTGTCGTATTCATGTTTGCCACGAGTGTCTTAACCGCAAAATTGATTTCCACTCACTTATCGTTAGGCTTTAATTATTGAGTTCTGGTTTTCTCGTATATATTTGAGAAGTTTTAAGTACTTTTCAAAGTTAATCGTCGGACTCCTCGACGCCTACACTGTTTGATAATCAGAAAAAAGAGAGAAAATCATTATTAATAGGAAAATGTTTTGCAATGTAAAAGATTTTATGATTTTTTATGTTAAGCAAAGTAAGTAATGATTTTTAAAAGTTCATTGAATCGGGTTTATGTCTCGTAAAAACATACACAAAATTGATAATAAATTGATTGTTAATTTTATTACAAACAAAAAACTCCTACACTTTTATGTAACTTATGTTTTACTCCTTTATTTTTCACTCTCCGTATGCCATCAACACAATAGTCTTGTTCAACAAAATTATGATTAAAAACACATTTTCTTTATTATATTCAAAAGTCGTCTCCAATTATATCATTAAAAGTTAGTTTTCTCTTTTTGCTATCATTTTGGGAAAAGTTTTCTTAATTTTCTTATAAAAACTTTTCTCTTTTTCTTTGCGTTTTTTCTCACTACTCATGTCATCAAAGAATTATAACTTATGTTATGTTTAATCTCTTAACAATATTTGCAAACATTAAAAACTCATATTTAAATCATAATATACGCGAAAGTATGAGTGAAAAGAGAAATAAAAGAATTAAAATATAATATTATTTTCCAAACGAAACACTGGAAGCACTGGAAAGAGAGACTCACTTCTCATTTAAATTCATTTATCTCTCTCTTTATGTGAATATATTTTTCTCATCTTAAAAACCAAATCACTTCTCCGTATACTCGCTATTATACAAGACTTTAAAGATGTTTGAAGTGATAAAAAACATTTATATTCATTATTTTCTGTGTATATGATATGAAAATTTTTTCTTATTTTTTCCATTATTGCTGTCATTTTGATGATTAGAAACCCCACCGAATGTACAGTGCATTCACTAATATCTCTCTCACTATACTTTTGGTCTCTCTCTCTCTCTCTCTCTCTCACCAGAGAATAAGTTTGAAATTAATGTTTTCTTATTTTATTTTCACTTATTATTATTACAGAAATACTTCACTTTATATTTAACATTAAGTTAAATCTTTTTGAAATTATCTTAAATTCTTTCTTATTTTGCTTAATTTCAAGAAATATTGCTTTTGGGAAAAAATTTAAGTTAAATATATATTAAAGTTTTTTTCTCATATCATCTGCTCATCACATTCGTAGGTATGAGACGAGAGAGAGAGAGAGAGAGAAAGAGAGAGAGAGAGAGAGAAAGAAAGAAAGAAAGAAAGAGAGAGAGAGAGAGAGAATATTTTTGACTTAAGTTTGTATAAGAATATCAAACACACGACTCAGTTGTTTATATAATAGAAAGCTTAGGGACTTAGAGACCACACAAAATGTCGTTACCATTCGTTTGCTTAATAAGTTTTACTTCACTTTATATCTTCACAATTAAAGTCGCGATAATTGATTAGATGTGTGTTATATACATATGAGAAAAGCCCAAAACACTACAGGTATATAACAGTTAGTGAATGCACTCATTGTGTTACACAACAGACAGTGAGTCCCTTACCTTTGAGAAACACATACACACCTGAAAAAAGTAACCGAACCTTACATTTCATAGTTAATGAGCAAAATATTTATAACTTTAATATAAATATTTTCTGAATTGCAACAATTTTTTAATATAACGAATAGAAAGTGAATAATAATAATCACATGCGAAAGGAAAGCAAAAACTTTGTTCCCTCGCTATCTCAGTCTCCATATTATAATATCATATTAAAGCAAATTTCACATATAATGTGATAAATAGTGAGTAAAAAATATATTTCACGAATATTCACAAAAACACGCACACAGTGTATATCCAGGGGTATGGGGTACGGGGTATGGTATGGGATACACACATACATCCAAATGAATTATGATATGAATACAACACCAAAAATAAAATAATATTTTGCTTTTGCTGTTTAAGATTGTTTTGATACGCACTCTACACACACATCCCAAACGCACTGTTAGGTTATCTGAACATGTCTTCAGCACTTGAGTGCCCATAAGGCTCTGCACAAGCAATCAGTAGGTCTTCCCATTGAGAGGTATTACAGAGCGCTCGGAGGCACGAAAACTCATTGCATTGCCCCTCAGCTCGCGTTGGGTTGTGTTGGGTGTGGAGAATACATCAGATTCTTGGCTCTGTGAGCTATTACACTGATTATACTGAAACACCAGTAAAGGAGAGCGCCGGACAACAAGTGTATGAGCCCTGCGATCATACTATGTATACATACCACGGTATACCCGAGTATATTACCCCAGAAAACCTCTCGCTCTCACTCCCTTTCCACTCTCCACTGCATATCACTATATTGTGAGCACTTGTTGTTTATTCAGAGTTTCTTTCGGTGGACTAATAGTCTAATTGCACTCAAACCTGAATTATCTAAATATTTCAATTCTTGTTGTTTAGGAGTTTAGTGTTGTGTTTGACTTAAATGGTGCCAAAACACCGAAACAAAGGGTTATATATATATGCCATCATTGAGTTGTCGACTGAAAAAACTAAATCATTTATCATAGGCTGCCATCGATTATATAAATGATATTTGTTTGTTGTTTGCAATGACTGACAAAAGAGTGGTTTGAATATTAATGAAATCATTCGCCAAATGTGTCACAAAAAGTTAAACTCACTTTTCAGCGATAGTTTGAGAGATAGAGAAAATTTTTCTCAAAATCATTATAATCTAAATGAATTACTGATTATATTTATGATGGAAGGAATGCCTACCAGAGGTGTTCACCAAATGTATAATACACTGCCAAACAAACTATAAGTTTTGAGTTTATATTTTCTGTTCAAAAGGGCATAAAAGATGAGAAATTGGTTTCAACGACAGAAAGACAAGAGAGTCAATGATTTTGAAGTCTGAGACATAGCTGTTGCGAGCAAACAGTATATGAAAAGTCAAACACCATATCGTAATTGTTAGGACACATAATGTCATGAATACATGTCCGCCACATAACAGATGAGAGTTATATCTGTGACTGACTTTTCTTTACACAAAAATATTATATCGTTTCGAAAGCTATAAAAATAAAAAAGTTTGTATTTCGCTGTAACAGACTAACAGTAATAGCAATGGAGAGAAAAGTGTAGCGAAAAAAGTCACATAAAACGACAAATATTCTTGCATTGAGTCATTAAGTATGCACATGAGAGCATCCCTTTCCACTGGGCTATCCATGTCCTGCACTATGGGCTGGCAGTATTTCCAGTGTTTTGGTCACGTTCTCAGTACTGATAAACTACCCGTCCATCGTTAGGGCCATATGGAGTCCGCGGATAATATCTATTTGTTGTGCTATTTGTATACATTGGCTAATGTTTGGCACAACTATTACCGCACACTTCACTCTATTTGCGAGCGACACGATAACAAAGGGTACAAAAATATTATATACTTTTATTATTATAACTGGTATTTATATATCTTTTTAAGAAACTTTTTTAACGATCACTGACTTTATTGTACGAGAAATATGAAGAAAACACAAGAAATCTAAGACATGTCTGTGTTGTATAGATATGTCTGAACTAAACAGCCATTCCTTATGCAGACATTAAATTATTCAATACAAAACTTGCGATAGGGTGTGTCATATCATTAATACATTCAATAGATATTTATACAGAATAATCAACTACGGGTATAACATTCAAATTGCACAACAATTCATTTTGTTAATAATTTCATTTTTGTTTCGTATAATAATTTGAATGAATTTATTATTAATAGTTATACTATTGAAATGAAGTATAAAATAAATATAATAAACTATATATTTCTCATTCAACATTTTTTGTTATGTTGCTTAATATTTCTATTGTTCTCAAATGTTTTGCATAGATATTCATTAAATGAGAAAAATTCGCACAAAAAATCCGATAAATTGAGGTAACATTTGAGAAATTTAGTTCATTTAGTTCATACAAAATGCTAATCACTCATAGATTAGGAAACAGTTTTTGAGACATTTTGCCAAATGTTTTTAACTTGATTTCGTAAACAGATATTAATTATAAAACAAGAAAAATTAAGCGAAACTATTTAAAAAGTAATTTTCTAATTAACAGAGAATTAATTAAATAGATTATGTTAATAACAATCTGCCTTATATGTGAATTTATATCCAGAAAACTTTTTCTCATTTAATTAATTTTAATTTGATTTGGTTTTTCGTCAAACAAAATAAAAACAATCGTCATATAAAAACAAATTATACACTAATTAATATCTATGATTAAAACATAAGATTTTTCAAAATTTATATACAAAGTATCACATAAATAAATAAATATTTTGTATTTGCAATATATTTGCAATTCTTAGGCAAAAGAATGTAAAGAATTTGATTTATGTTACAAATCATAAGCTCTGCCATTAATTACATAATAGGAGAAACACTGGTATTGATTGCATTTTAATGGCCCCCGAAAATAAACGCATGATTTATATCAATAAAAATATAATATAAAATTCAAGAGAAAGAAATATTTAGACTTATCATTATTTATCGGTTTTTATTAGACGTAACAACAAAACTAATGATGAGCACAGGTATGAATCAAAGTCGAGTAATCGTATACTTGATTATACGGAATAAATACATAATTTATACGAATATTTCTTTTATCGCAATTATAAATATATTTTTATATTTGGCAAAAAAACTATTAAACCTTTGATTAAATCAGAATCGCCTCTCAATTCATGTCAGTCTATCACTACTCCTGTGTCTGTGAGCTCTCATTTTGATGGTCTCTCCAGATATACGGATCAATGTATTCAGCATTCAATGCGATCGCCAAACACAACATACATTCACAATCAAATAAAAGCAAAAAATAAGGTATTTTTATATAAC